CGACCCCACGACACCGACGCCACGGAACCGACCCCACGACACCGACGCCACGGAACCGACCCCACGACACCGACGCCACGGAACCGACCCCACAACAGTGTCACAGCACCGACCCCGCAGCACCAATGCCACGGAACCGACCCCGCAGCACCGATGCCACGGAACCGACCCCGCAGCACCGGTGCCTCGTCACATCTTCACGCAGCTGCTTGGAATGAACAGAAAGACGGGATGCTAGATGGATGGAGGAAGAAGAAACTAATGCAAAGCTGGAGTGTGGAGAAGTAAATTGATCACGGCTCTGCATGTAGCTGTCTGCGCACTGCTAATCGTTTAAATAATAATAATAATAATAATAATAATAATAATAATAGTATTTATATTTCTTTAAGATAAGGCTGGCATTGCACTGCTGGGAAGCAGGTGGAAACCCGCATTCAGCACTTCTGTCCTGTCCACGATTTCAAACCCGCTGTATATGTGAAATAAAGCTGATCACAGAACACCAGAACTCAAAGAAAATGACAGCAAGCTTTAAATAAACAGGATCCCTGTTAGTCTCTATTGCACAGCAACAAAGATCAGGACATAATGAGCATGTTCACTCATCTCTCTCATATTTAGGGTGGTTTGTGGGATAGCCTGAACATTGAGTATTATTATTTGTGATAAATTAATGGTATTTTAAAAAAATAACAAATAAAAAATTTTTAAAGTTGGGTCTGAAATTCTTTCATGGCCCAACTGCCCCGTTCTGGCCAACAGAGGCACGTAACACTGCACCCCCCCCCCCCAGCCAGTCTGGGTTATATTTAACCCAGACTACCTTAAATCTGACAAATTATCTGGCTAAGCAAGAAATCCTGCTTTGTGATACGAGCCCCAGATGGGCATCTGCACAGAGAAATATATACATTTGACAGACAGGACGGATGGGCTGACAGTAAGGGGGGAGGGGGAGGGTGATGTTGGCGGGATTGGCAGACGATGACAGCTTGTTTTGCTGGTTGCCCTCTCCGCTAAAGAAGTTTCCGGGTACAGACCGAAAAGTGCTACTGTAGACGCCGACACTCTAAATGGAGGGGGACGGGGGGGTCTGCCTCGGCTTCTTTCCATTGTCCTGACCTTTGGGTTTCTACCCAAGACACCAGAGACCCCACCTTCTCTGAGCACCGGGGGGGGGGGGGTTACAGCAGCACCTTCACATTCACTCCAGCGCCCACCAAAGCCGTGTGAAGACGATCTGTCGCAGAACCTGCGCCTCTGTTTTTACTCCCATTTTGGACTGTCTAATGAACCCATGTGACCTACACACCAACCCCCCCCCCAGCCACCCGCATGGCAGGACGTCCCACCTGGAGGCGGGGCTCAGGCCAGACCGTTGAAGAATGATGTCACTGAGCCAAAAACAAGCAAAGTGTTTTATGACTGTCCTAAGATCCACCACCTCCTCCCATCCTGCTTACTGTCCTTGGGAGAGGAGACTCTTTCCATGGAACTTTCCAGAAGCCTTTCCATAGGGGCCAAAGATGATGTCACAACCTCCAGTGCTCTTCCAGAGCCGACTCGGTAAGGAATATAAACCCTTTTCCTGTCCTGGGGATGCCCTTCAGCTGCACTCCTCCTCTCTCTCTCTCTTCATCTCACTCGTTCTTTTCCCGTCCTTCTGTAAGTGCCTTGTATTGCAAGATTGGGCACCAGCTCAGATCAGTATTTCCACCACGTCTGCGTCCGGCAGTTCCGGCCTCTGACCTGCCCCACTGGGGGGTTTGAGGTCTGTGGGCTTTGTGGAGGCAGGTGGGCTCTCTGTGGGAACGGAAGAGAACGGAAGCTCAGATCCCCTTCAAGCCCGCAGATTTCACACGAGGCTGCCAAGACTGTCCTCTTGGCTCTAGGGCGAATCATTATCCCATAATGGAAAAGACCAGTATTGTTATTGTCATAATTTGTCCAAAGGTATGCTGTATTCTGAACATATTCTCTGATTGGATACCTCACTAAAGGAATGTCAATGTCAGCCCCGCCCACATCTCACCTGCACACTCTGATTGGATAAGCAACTTGCTAAAGGAACAGACAATGAGGAAGCTGTCAGCCCCGCCCACGTCTCACCTGTGCTGTCTGGCCCACCCCTCGGTAAGGTATGGCGGAAGACAGGGCTGCCACTGGGCGTGTTGCCCAGGCGGGAACGGCCCGCAATGGAGGTGGCCCTTTGCGTCTCGGGGCTCCTTTCAGTCTGCGTGCAGCTGTCCCGGCTGCCCGTCTTCGAGTGGGCGGAGAGCAGGGGCGTGGCCGGCAGGGAGGACGCGGTAGCGGGGGCCTCCATGGCCTCTTTTCCAAGGAGGGCATCTGAAAAGACATGGAGACATCCTCCTGAGACAGTGATGCTTCCTCCGCAATATCAAGTAACTGAAGGGTCTCCTGAATATGACCTGATATCATCCATACTCACTGGCACTGCCCTTCCAGCTGCGCCCCTCTCTCCTGTCCTCCGGACCGCCAGTGCCCGTCTGGGAGGCTTGGCGCGGGTGGAGGCCAGTCGCTGCGGAGATGGAGGGCACGGAGCGTGCAGGCCGTAGGGGCGTGGCCTCCGCCTTGCCTTGCTCCTTGCGGGAGCGCTGCTGTAGCACCTTGATCATGGCATCCTTCTCGATGATCTGGGCGTGGAGGTTCTTGATCCTGTGCGGAGGCAGTGAATGGAAGGGTGACCCTCATGCTCGCTCCTGCCCCCTGCCATGCCCAGGCCACCCCGCCCAGTCCGGCCCGGTACCTGTGCTCCATGTCCTGGCAGCGTCGGTTGGCCTGCAGGATCTCCTCCTCCTCCTGCCAGATGCGGGCTTCCAGGGAGCCGTCGCTGTAGCTGCCGTCGCGGGAGTGGTTGATGATGGTTGTGTCCCTGCGGAGTGGCGCAGGCCAAGGTTGTGGGTTCAGGTCCCAGAACGACTGCTGCTGTCCAGCACTCAATTCCAGTCTGTACCCCTGGTTTAGCCTCTGAGGCTCACTGGCGCCCCCCCCCCATCCCGTACCTCTGTGCGGCGGCAGTGGCGGCCGCGTCCATGGCGAAGTGTCTCATGGCGCTCTCCTCCAGGTACTTCTGTTCCCACTTGGTCATGTCAGCCTCCAGTGCCAAGATGCGCTCCTCTTTCTCCCTCAGGAGCTCCATCAGGGCAGGGGCGCTACGCCCCGAGGACGCGGTACTCTGCGACACCCCACCCAGGCGCTGCTCCAAAATTTGGGGGCGGGTGCAGAAGAATGGGAGGGAGGGGAGGATGAAGCTGCTGAAATGCGCACTGTGTTCATGTAGCGGAGAAGAAAGGTGACGCCTCTGGAAGCGTGGATTTCAATGCAGGAGGAACAGAGACTGAACCTGAAGGTTTATCCCAGACCATCAAATTAAAGCCCATCTTCCCAGACCTCAGGAAGCACAGCGGTCTGAGGCAGGAATCCAGGCTGGGGGCTGCAGCATGGAAAGCTGACAGAGGAGCCATATGAATCTCCCCAGCCCCCAAGCGCTGGGTCTTTAGCACTCAGGTACGGGCTCTCTGGGGTTGGCGTCACCCGACCTTAAGCACACTGACAGAGGCCATGCTCCAAAGCACCCAGAGGCGTTTGGCCCATAGAGAACCCTCCTCCTTTACCACATCCTTCCTGTTTGTGAGGACCCTGCAATCACAGCGGAGGCTGACTGCATAATTGCAGGGGGGTGGGAGCCAAGGAGTCGGCCGTGAAGTTTCACTGCACCTCCAGCTGGACAATGACCCAGCTGACCCAGCTATGTGACTGGTGTCCAAGGACCTTCTAGCAAGAACCCCAGATGTTAACTGAGGGTGACTGGTTTGAATCCCTATGTCTGAGAATAACCAAATGCCCACAAGAACTCACATAAACATCATCATGAAGGGGAACTGGGGGAGCTGGGGGGGGGGGTCTCACCTGCTGTGTCCGCAGCGACTCCAGCTCGCGCTCTAGGCGTGTGCGCAGACGCCTCTCCAGCTGCTCCCGCTTCTCGCAGGCAGCCTGCAGCTGGCTGAGCGCCTGCTGGAGCTTCTCCACTCTGTCCACATACACCTGCTTCTTCCGCAGCTGGGGGGCACCCCGGGGGGAGGAGTCAAGCAGGGAGAGACATGCCCGCCGTATCTTTCCTCTTTGAATATTTCTAGAAATTCTTCTGTTTCTCAGTTTTTCAAACTGCTAAAGCTTATGCTGATGCTGATGCAGAACCCAACTGACCTGAATGCTGAACATGAGGGTTAGTTAGCGGCAAAGGAACGGCCAAATCAGACAAACCAAAGCAGTTCGGTCCCTGACCAATAGGGGGCGACGGGCAAAGGGATCTTCTGTACCTCCTCCTCCAGCTTGACCACTCTGCCCTGACCGTTGCTAAGCGCCTGTTCCAGGACCTCGATGTGCCGCCGCTGGTCCTCGCTGGCTGAACGCAGAGCCGCAGCCTCCATCTCCAGCTTCTCTCGCTCTTTTGCACTTTCCCTGCCTGGGGGGTGAAGGAGCGGGAGGGGCGTCAGAACAGGGCCTGCAACGCCGCATGGTCGCATTAGCTGCGCTGATGTCTGCTGCGTCTGGGCGTGAGGCTGCATGCTAGGGTCTGCTGCGGCAGGGGGCCCAGCGCTGCCATAGAATGCTGGAGTAACGCTAATGTAACACCAGAGTAATGCTGCCATAACACTAATGTGATACTAATGAAAAGCAACTGTAACGTTAATGTAACACTGCCGTTACACTAACATGATACCTCAGTAATGCTAATGTAGCACTAATGTAAAGCCACCAGTAATGCTAATAAAACAGCAATGCAATGCTGCCGTAACACTAATGTAACCTTGTAGTAACACCAACTTAACGCTGTCATAACACTAACATAGCAATGCTTATGTAAAGCCATTGTAATGTTAATATATCACTGCTGTAATGCCAGCACAATGCTGCCATAATGCAAATGTAACGTTAATGTAACGCTGCCATAATGGTAATGTAACGTTAATGTAACACTGCCATAATGCTAATGTAACGTTAATGTAACACTGCCATAATGCTAATGTAACGTTAATGTAACACTGCCATAATGCTAATGTAACGCTGCCATAATGCTAATGCAATGCTGATGTAACACTGATGTAACGCCAGTCTAATGCTAACGTAACATTGCTGTAACGCTGGAAGAAGAGGTCTTTGCATGAGCAGGGACTTTCACAGGCAGATTTAGTTCCATAATCCATACTGAGATACACAGAGCTGCTGCTGCCACACAAGGACAAGTTCACAGACTGGCCAGCAGAGGACGCTAGCTTCAGCCCGGCCCTCCTTTTTAAGGCACACGCCTGCCCCCCCCCCCGGGAGGCGGACTACCCTCAGAGCACAAGGGCGTGTTTCCTGGCTGAAACCACAGCGTCTCCCCAGGAATCGAATTACATGCATTCCTCCCGTCCGCTTGTGGGACTTTCAGACACGTAACCGCAGCACCGGCTACTGTGTCTGCTGTGCCCCCAGCCCCCCAAGGTAAGACCTGTCCTGAGACCTGACACCGGACCCCTCGGCCGGTACCCATGCGGTCACACGGCCCCCGAGTGCCACGCCACCTGCCGTACCTAATCTCCAGGCTACCCCGGATTACCACTGTTATGTATGGAATGCTAGCCACGGGATTTATTTTTGCCAAGGCATGGCAACTTGTCCGAGCGAGCGCTAGCACGCCCACAGGCCTACAGCGGGGGCCCCTCCCCGACGCACTGGCAAGCATGAGGGTCAAGGGTGTGGCAGAATACCCTCCCCCCCACCCGAGAGAAAGAGAACGTGTGTTTGCGTGTGGATTGTAGCTGGGTGTGTGTGTGTGTCTGTGTGTCTGTCTGTCTGTCTGTGTGTGTGTGTGTGTGTGTGTGTGTGTGTCTGTGTGCGTGTGTGTGTCTGTGTGCGTGTGTGTGTCTGTGTGCATGTGTGTGTGTCTGTGTGTATGAGGGGGTGCTCAGGTCTGGCCGGCAGTTGTGCCACTTGCCAGTTAAGGACCAGGTGCGTAAAAAGCCTGGCCGCTGAGGTTAGGTCAGCCCTGCGACTTCCTGCCAGCACTGAAAATCACATCGAGGCCCCACTGCACACGACCTTGCATGGCATCAACAGCCAACTCCAGTCAGGAATAAACTGTTAAAAAGCATTCGGGCTGATGGACCACGGCAGATATTTCCCACAGAAGCCAGAGTCTCCAAATTGCATTATGGAAAGATTCAACAAGCCCAAATGAGACTTCTGGGACATAAGATATCTTCCCCAGTTCAGTGGATACAACTGAACTGTTTGGTTTTCATGTGGTGCAGAGATTCAGCAAATCACGCAGTGAAACGCACACTGCAAGTCACGTAGCCTAACACCAGTGCTTAATTTGTGCCAGAGTTCAGCTCTGAGACCCCTGGCTCAGGGCAGTCTGCGCTCCCAAGTGACCAGCAGTCCCCATTGGACACCAGATATCAGGTGGTCAGGCTGTGCCCAATGGGAGGCATCTCGAAATCAGACCAGCAACGACCCCATTCATGCCCAGTCTAGGTAACACTGCATACAACCCAAACTGCAACACGACCAAACTGTGGGGCTGCAGGAGCGAGAAGGTTATCTGATCACCGCCACTGAAGGGGCAGGAAGGGGAACTGGCTTGAAACATTTTGAACAACAATGTCCAGCAGGCATTGAAAAGAGCTCCATGGAATGTTCTAGATGTCTGCAATGGCCTCCATTAAACATCTTATCAAACTCGCTGTGTCTGGTGTGAAAAAAACAGCAGCCCACACATCTCTCTTTTTTTCTCCAAGGCCAAAAACAGCATAATTTTGTCCAAACCGTTTTTAGCCACAGGAAGCAGTGTTGGCCGTTAGGGGGGGGGGAAGAAAAAACAGGAAGGCCTCCTAAGTGCTGGGTGTGGAGGTCCCCAGAGCCTAGGGCTGGCAGGCCATGATACTCACTGTGGGAGACGTGGAGACCTAAGGGCCAGCCTTCATCACTGCTCTCCAAGTCCCTGCTGGCCAGCTGCCGATTGGCTGTCTCCAGGCGATCTGTGAATGGGAGACAACGTCAGAAAACGGGCCATGGAGAACTGAGACATTCATAGAGAAGGTTACGTGCACATTCCTGGAGATGTGTAATTGATTTATAGAAGTTTAGAGATTAACAGAGGATGTAGTAAAAGGTAATGCAAGAGCAAGGTCAGGAGGTTAATCTGCATGGGGCCTTTAGGGGTAGATCTGGTTTCATCCCATGTGTACAGTATGAGTGAAGGTGCCACACAAACGATCCTGACCTCTCAAGTCCCTGTTGAAGTCATGCAGTCTCCTGATCTCTCCCTCCAGCTTGTTCTTCATGGCCTTGTCCAGAGACTCCCTCTTGGTTGAGCTCTTCACCAGACCCTCGTAAGCCTCTGAGATCTTCTGGATCTCACTCTCAAGCTGGAAGACATCATGGTGGCTTCTGTAAGTTTGCGGCCAGACTCCTCATGGAGCAGTAACTCTCCACGGGGTTTCACACGTGTTGCTGCCTGAGGCCTTGGAGATCAGTACATAAGAACAGAGCATCCCAGCTGTACAAACAGACCTATACCTAGGGAAGCAGTTCTTTAGTATTCACTCATCCATCCATTTTCTATACTGCTCGTCCTATGCGGGGTCGCAGGGGACTGGGAGTCTATCCTGGAAATAAGGAGCACAAGGCAGGAAATGACCCATGACAGAGTTTCTGAGTTTGCATGTTCCCCAACCCAGTCTAAGATAATGGTTAGATGAACTGGTCTGTTTGCTTGGACAGTTGCTGTACCAGTAGAAGTAAACACTGAAATTCATTTCACACCAAAAGGGTGAGGTCTGCTGGTTTCAGATCAGATTATCATTACAGCCACTCTGAATAAAGATCCATCTATTAGCACTGCTAAGTACTTCTTAGTACCATATTAACTTTGGCAGTGTGGCAGTGAGGCAGTGTGGCAGTGTGGCAGTGAGGCAGTGTGGCAGTGAAGTCCGGACAGCTGCCCCATTCCAGCCACCACACATGTGCTTCCCTGACCGGGGCTCCATGGTTCTGCTGGAGGGGGCCAGTGGGGTCCTATAAAAGGGGGTTTTGTTTCATTGTTTCAATGTGTGTGGTGTGTGGGGTGGGGGGGGCGGGGTCACCGTGGCAATTCAAGATCAGGTTTCTCTTTATGCGCCAAGGAGCCACCAACTCTCTTCACAAAGCCTGCCCCCCCACACACACACACACTTAGCCCTTCTCGATTCCAGATGCCCTCCGCCCCACCCCCAGACACCATGCTGTGACCTCCCTGCCTTAAAAATCAATGCACCTATCTATTGTCTCCCCCCAGCACAGACTGGTGATATACAGGCTGTTCAAGCACAGCATCAGTTTAACAGACACTGGGAAGAACCCATTTAACAGCTGGGGGGGGGGATGGGGGCTACAGAAGTCGTCATGGATCTGCTGAAGACAGGGCTAGACATAAGCCGCGGCACCGCGGCCAA